CCAAACCCCTATCCACCCTGCTCTGTGTAAAAGATAGGGCACTCTTGATCATCCCCTGCGGTGGCCAGAACATCAGGAAATTTTTAATCAAAGATTCATAGTATTGCGTGGGCAGGATACTGTCAGGTTGCCCAGGCCTAAACATGAGAACGAGTAGGGTACTCAACCAAATCCTTTGGTTCAAAAACCTGACAACAAGGCAACGGGTTTGGCTTTGGACTACAAGGAGTCCGTTTTAAGGAATAAGGAGCCATTCTCATCCCAACACCTAACCTGGAGGACTAGGAGGCTGAGTTTGGCTGGCTTCTAACTATTGACCAATGTATACAGGTATACCCTTCTTGGAACCGATACTGGCTGATAAAGTTTGATGGTCAATCTCCAATACGAGTTCTCTACCCTGCAACATCTGAGGAAACTTCCTGACAGCAAAAGTTAAAGCTAGTGCATCTTTCTCGGTCTGTGAGTAGTTTCTTTCACACTCCATTAAGACAAATGATATGCAAGAAATCGACCACATGGTGCTAGAGTCGAGCCGCTGGCAGAGAACTACTCCAACACCATAACTAGAGGCATCTTTGGAGACAATGATAACTGCTTTTAGATCATAATGTGCTAGCACTAAGTCAGACACAAGAGCTTTCTTAATGAGCCCAGAAACTTCCTCACATTTGGATGACCAAACCCAGGGTCGATTTTTACCTAACAACTCACTCATTGGCCCGCAAATTCGATGCATATCGGGAATAAATGCACTTTAACTGCTTACTATGGCTAGGAATGATTGCAGAGTAGATATGTCGTGTGGGGTAGGTAATTCCTCGATGACGCGCATTTTTTCAATAGCTGCTCTTCGCCTGTCACGATGGATAATAAAACCAAGGTATTTTACTTGAGGCATAAACAAATAAATTTTATCAGCTTTCAGAGTCAAACCACATTCCAGTAGGCGTTCGATTGTCTGCAAGAGGTAGCAGCTATGAAGGGTTCTGTCTGTTGATGCGACGATAATATCATCCAAGTATGCACAAGCCGATGGTATGTCCGGTAGCATAGTATCCACCAGTTTTTGAAAGAGTCCCGGAGCAGCGTTCACTCTGAACGGTAGCCGCCTGTGCTGATACAGACCAAGGTAAGTGTTAATGGTAAGAAGACACCATGCGTCATCATCGACTACCATTTAAAGATAGGCATCCGAGAGATCAATCTTTGCAAAAATGCGATTATCCTTGCGTTGGGTGATAAGATCCTCCGGTAGTGTCAGCAGGTATTGATGAAGATTCAGTGCTGCATTCAGGCCGGTTGAATAATCTCCACATAGGCGAATGGTTCCGTTTGCCTTTTCCACTATCACTATGGACACTGCCCAGTCTGAGTATTCGACTTTAGAAATCACCCCTGCTTGCTACATTCCACCCTATTCATTGTGAACTAGCTTAATAGACACATACGGCACCGGTCTTTTGGGTCGAAAAACAGGCTTCACGTCAACTTTTAGACACAGAGATGTCGTGAACTTGGTGTCACAGCCAGGTGTGTGGTGGAGCACTTCTGGGAATTGCTTCTCCATATCGCCAGCGATCGCAGAATTATGCGCTGTGTAGCAATGTGATGAGATATCCGGACCGGATAGACTTTCTTCGGTTAGCTAGCACACAAACTCAAGATGAACGCTCTACAGATTAAGAGCAGTTATCCGATCAATACCAAATATGTTTAATCCCGAGTTGTCAGAAACGTGACAGGCGCCGGTTCGCTCATCTTTTCTGTAAACATTTTTATAGGAAAATTTGGCATATAGCCGTAGGATACTGTTCGATGCACTCCTTGCGGTATTTTCCGCATTGTACAGTATCGGTCTACCGATAGCCGACCATGTCGGGCTGGAGATGATAGCAATGTCAGATGCGGTATCCAACTGTAGGCGCACTGAGTGCCCATTAATGATGACATTGATAAACTTACAAAGTGAAAGAAATCCTTCCTGTACAGTTGCATAAAGCACATTAGACTCCCATTCGATTCCGCGTATTTGTAACGGTTTGGATTGATCCCCACGATGAGGACGTCGTGTAGTTGATCCGAAATGCGTTTCTTTATGGTCTTTCCTGTGGCAGACAGTGCGCTGGTGATTGATCGGCGGACAATTTCTGGAAAAATGTCACTCATCATAATTCCAAAAAACATGTGGTAGTTCCCGTCGTGCCGTGTCATGGACATCGGTCGGTGTCCGGGTAGAATTTGGATTAACCATCTCGATCGCTGACATCCGTTTTCTTGACTAGAATATTTGTGAATCACTTGTTAAGTTGACCAGACGCTGACCCTCCGCGGTTACGTCCTGAATGGTGCAATCTGGAGATGAGTCCAGTTTGGGGTAACAGACTTGTTCTGATTTCTGCGTCACCCGCAATGGTCAAGTCAAATACAAAAATGACTGACTTGAACTGATCATCCATAAGTTGTTTGAGCTTGAAACTTTCACATGTATGGTACACTCTGCCCGCGTATGAAATTTAATCCTTGGATTGATTCTCAACCAGCTGCAAACACTGATAACGGATGTTGAGAACTGAGGACCTTTCACCAAAAATGGAAATGAGAACATCTACAGTCTCCTGGAAATTGCCCTCGCGGGAGTGTTTTAGTAGAAGGAAATTACCGTACTGGTTGTGTTTATTTGCGTCCAGCTTTCGTAGCAACAACCGTACTTTGGCCGCATCATCAAATTGGATCGCGTCAACCAGAAAGTTATCTTCATACCGCCTGTAGCACTTTTGCGAATGTGATGCCTTTCTCTCCGTCATATTGGAAATCTTACATTCCGTTTGCCAACGTTCCAGCTGAAGTGGAGTCGAGTTGTACAGTAGTGGGTGTTAGGTGTAGGGTTGTCATTTTCTCAGTAAGTGTTTGGAATAACAATGTCTGTCTTTCTTCTTGTTACAGTGTATCCCGCTGTCGATGCTGGATGTAATCATGCTGCCGTTGTAGTAATTGGGTTAGCTTTGAATGATCAGCCATTTGCATCGACAGTGTTACACTTGCGGCTAATAGGACATTGAGCCGTCAGGACAAAGACTTCCAATTCACCGGACAGTGTATTGACCAGATCTGTCACTTGAAACGGGCACGACAGCCGATAATATACGTTAAAGTGAGCGTGTGTTGGGCAGGCGGCGGCCTGATGCATATGAACCACAGCGGACTATTGGGTGAGAGTGAAGTTCACGGTCAGCTGTGTGGGACGGCATTGTACTTTTAAGGCACCGAATCGCCTGGCGTAACAAACACCCTTTGTGAAGAGTGTAAAAGTCCAACAAAAGACTTGCTTTCAAAAAGCTAACTGGTGTCTAAACTCCTGTTGGGTCCTTGACTTGTCGATGGTCGCGCAAATGGGACAAATCTTTTAGGCGAAATCCGGTTCAATTTACAGGCCGAATAGTCTCCGTTGCAATGAAAAGTTTGATTACCGTTGATTTCAAGTAAACCCAATGTACCATTCTCCGTCGTCATGCATACTCAAATACTTCATCTTTTCAAGCCAAATGAAACGGGTGCTAATCGAGTGAGTGAAAACGTCGCTGTATGCCGGAAGGTTGCAAAAATTGTGCCAATTTAATCGATCTGTTATCAATGTATCCAACGCTACCTCCATCTGAGCATTTAACAGTTGCGTGTTTGTGGTTTGAGAGCAGAAACGAAATAATTAAGTGATCCCAAGGCTTACATTACATCTTCACATCTGAAGAAAAGGAAATTGCTTGGTATAATTAGGGTGCGCAATGTCACGCAGATGTCGATATCAATTATCGCACTACTCTCAAGAACGATGTTTACGATGCTAATAATGAGTGCCAAATTCATTTCAATTTTTTCCACTTAGAGCACCGGTAACGCCCATGCTCCTTCTGCGCTTCTTCAAATCACATGATACCTTATTCGAGCGCGACATATTTATTCGCTGTGCGTTCTCTTAAATTTGATTGCTTTACCAGTATTACGGTTACCTATGAAGCAGCCATCTAAATGCTGTGATTCATCACCACCGAGGCCATCACATGTGTAACTAATACAGTTGCAGTCGGGAATATTGAACCTCATCCCGGCCGACTGATCACTGCCACCGGAACATACTCTACGGTCCGGTCTGTTTTCATATTTGTTAAGAACTGTCTAATGAAAACACATGGACTGCACTTGGTTTCGTCCCGGCTACTGTGAAAATCGAGTATTGCTGGTGTCGTACTCGGTATTCCACTTGTAAATGCGTTATACAACTCCAGTAATTGCTAGGCCTTCAGGAGGTCACTCGCATATCTGACAGCAAACTAACAAAATAGCAAGAGGATTCTACATTTAGGAATACAATTTTCGTCTATGGCCTGAGTGTGCTCATGTATCCTGGGATTATAATAGTTTAACAATCGCAACAACGTTGAAAGGAAGTACGCACCAGAAAAGACTTAACTCTCCTTTCTGCAAGTCAGACATTTGGACCCTTTGTCAAATTTGTACGGACAGAATTTTAACTTAACCACAACCATATATGCAGTCTGCACAACTGATCCCTTACGCTGATAAAAAGTTTACATGGTTGCTGATGCATTCCTGTTACAACTTTCATTTGTGGTTTTAGCACCTACCAATATCCTCAATAAGCGTTGTTGCATAGTGCCACACAGTAAAAGTGTTCGATGAATGTAGCTACAAGACATGGCTTAATTGCAAGGTGAATACGGTCTCATTATCGTATGCAGAAAGATAGAAAAGTTTGCTTGAATAGATAATTTAAGTTACGAAAAATGAAATAGCGACTTTCTGTACCACTGCTCGGTTTCCCGGTTTCTTACTAGTATCACGTACAAATAAATTTGGATCGCAGACCAATATGATTTTGTAATTAGCGTAACGACTTTTTGGCATTTTCCTTCTAAATATTTCATATAACTACACTACTATTTACCCGATACAGTACGATATGTATCTCCATTCATTATCAGGTGTTCAGCTGTTAATGGACCGTTTGCCCTTGAGAGAACTGACCTCAGAAGAAGTAGAAAGGTTGCACCGTTGTCTGGTTTGTATGGACGAGTACATCATCGGTTCTCGAGTGATGACGCTGCCTTGCTTCCATTTGTTTCACGAGACCTGCGCCAGGCGATGGTTCGAAGACGTAAGTTATTCCGCACGAAGGCGTTAACAGCGAATAATATGCTAATGAGTTTGTCATGCTTTACGAAACGATAATGTGACCACCCGGATTGTTAGTTAATTATCACACATGATCTGCTATTAGAAACAAGAATCTAGCTTGTATGTTGCGATGACCTGCTTCCGTCCTGCCTGACTCAGCGGCGTAAGCCACTGGCTGTCAGTGCAACCTACTTGCGGTCGTGGGCACGATTCCTTGAAGATGACAATGGGAATGCGCATTACTGTGGAGATTCAATGAGGCGAAACGGCCGTTTGATGTCTTCGTAGTAGTGGTTACCGCCCAGTATGTGAGCTGTTGGAACGAATCAGAAAAATTTCATCGAAGAACTTCCTACTCATTAGTAATTAGAAAAGGAAGGACAACATATTTGGTTAAGGGTCTGGGTAGAAGAGCAAGCGGTAAGTGGATGTACAGCCGTATGATGTAACGCATGCCAAGTGCAGAAACCTGCAGAGTCATGCCACTATTTAATCAATGTGTCTTGTTGAAACTCTCTACCATACATGTGGTATTTTTCGTTTGTCATTTACGTAATTTTACTCTTTAGCTTAATCGCTGAAGCGGGAGACTATAGCATTTTGTCAGTACAAACTGCATGACGTGTTATTCATTTAATCTGCTTTCCTTTTCAGTTTTTAACCTGCCCGGTGTGTCGAAGTGGTCTCTTACTCTGTACCTAAATCCGTGCCAAATGGCTGTTCTCAAGCAGGGCTTATTATATTTCTTCCATCGTTTCGTCATTCCGCCGTCATATTTTCCTGACGTGACAGTCGTACGTGCTCCTTATCAACGCAAAAGGGACAGATGCTTACGATTCTTATATACCCGTGTTTCTAAATTGTATACATAAATCTTCAAGCTGTTACGTATGCTAACGCATTTGCGTGCGTGTTAGTTACAACCAAGCTTAATAAACACTAAAATTGTTGTCTTCGTTATAACTGAAATCTGATGATTTCCCAGCAGTAAATGTCTAGGCAAGCAGTCCGCTTAGCTGAAATATTTTGCATCAGTACAGTAGAACTGGACTCTTACAGTGTAACTATAACCTGATGTCGAGTAGTTTAACTTAGTAGAGGTATATCATGTACCAAGACGTTTTATTTACCAGCCGTATAATCTAATACAAGCGAGGGAAACTAAGAGCCGCAGTCTCCTCGGGCCAAATATTAGATACCCACATACTGCGAAGCAGCTATACGTCGCAAAATTACGCAAAAAGAAGAAAGGAAGCTGTAAGCATCAGCACTGTTTCAACGATTTGTGTACAATGAAATCCTCACAACATTTTACCTCATGTACTTAACAGTAGTACAATTTCAAGACCAGAATACGACGTATGAAGTGGCGAAAGATAGCAGTACCCTAACGGAAGCACAAAAGGAGAGTTCACATGTTTTAAACAAAGAAAAGGCGATAAGCCACCAAATGGAAGCGTAGGACAGGACTATGGTTATATGACGGTCGTGAACATAATGCTCAGCCAATGACCCCCGCTGGGATTTGCAGATATTAGGACTGTGTCTCCTGATCAACATGAAATAGTGACGTTCCAGCTGAACCGACATCCCGTAGACACTACTCATTGTAATGCACTAGTCTGCCTTTACTATCCTATTTTCAACTAGCATGAAAATGTCATCATTCAACATTACCGCTTTCCTGAAAAGTTTTCCAATTGTACGTAAACGAGTACAAATCGCCACTAGGTTCTTCGAGGAAGTTATTTAGGGCTTGGTAATAGATGCGGTTTGAATGAAGGTTAGTTTATTGCTGGACTAATGTTTTTGGGCTAGGAGTATTGGTCTGTGTGCTTGAGCAGCTCATATATTTTAAAATTTCAAAACGAATCGGCAAATCGTGCTCATTTTCTGACACTGTAACATGGTAGGCAGATATATTTGAGTATAGAGAAAACGGGATCCGGCCATGCAGTATGCAGATATGGACAATAACTTTGTCTGAGTACAACTTGTGGTATTTAGATGGAATGCAACTTATCCCACTTAAGTTAAACGCTTGAAAATGAATGCCCAGACTTGTATCTATTCTAGTACACACATCCATTCTAGTGGCGTCAAATCACCACATGCGGTTTTCAGAACATCGATCAATCGCCGATGGTTTTGTTCATAAGCAGTGTGGGGGAGAGCACTTTGATACTCAGTTATTGGCTCTCATTTTAGCAATCAATTACGGGAGTTAATTTTCGATTAAACTAGTTCAGACTGCAAATGTCCGGCGGTGTTAAAGTAACTCACCAAGATATAGTCGAACTTTTCCCAGCTAATGCGTTTCTCAGCAATCCTGGAATGTTTTTATACTAAACTGCATGGTTTGGAAAGATGTCTCGTTCATCCTTCTGAGAACAGTGGGAGATGGAAACAAGATTTCCATGCAGACAACTTTGTGATACGAACCTTCAAGCAACGTTTCATAATCGGGGTTGAGTTGAGTAAGCTAACTAACTGCGTGGCAAGTGTGCTATCTGGATTCGAGCAGCATTTTGTCGCTATCCAATAGCTGAACATTTTTTCTCATTTAATAGTATCGCATCCTCTATCTCTAGATCTTTCTGCAAATGGCACATTGAAGCCTTATAGGTCGCTTGTAGACTCATGGGTTTCCGTAAGGTGCACCTCGAAATATTTTAATGGTGTATGTTCTCCAGCGGTGTCGCACCCCTAATCCAGGATCCGGGTGTCCCTAAATGCCGTTAGTTTGGAACGTATTGTGCCTTTGTGTCTCGCTCTTAAATGTCTTAGTGCTTAGGTAGATGCATTCATATTATTCCACTTTAGGGTTCACGCATGCTACAGTGGAAATTAATCTTGACGCATTAGGAGAACGTAAGGTGTTCAAAAATAACCCGCAACTGTGGACAAGTGCTGAGTGTTACCCTCCAGTAATACATCAATCCAAGACCGTTTTCGCAATCATTTGTACTCACCAGGTGGTGCTACCAAGTCGGCGACTTGGACCTGGGAGTTGGGAATATCGGCAAAGGCATCCACTCATAAGCTACCTAGTCGTGTGAGCAATGTTTGCTGCAACAATTACGGACCCATTGGAGACACTGGTGCATTCCATCATATGAGCGTACCAATACACTTATTGATCCCACAGGCGTCAGAAATTTAATAGACCTAGCGCTGGACCCAACCATAATGAACAGGAGAAGCAGCCGCCTGATTCTTCCAAATGAACATAATGGATTTACTAGGCAAGCAACTCGAATGCCTGGCGTGAACTGCATTAAATTTTATGGTCAATTTGAAATAATCGTTGTGATTGGATTGTATTGCGCAGTTTCAGTGTGGACTGTGAATCGCACTAAGGAACTCTGCTCATTTTAATCACACAGACCGTAGCTGAAGTAGATGGAAACCGGTTGTTGTCCGCTATCTCTCTCTGATACGATCAAATATGATCGAAACGTGTTGTAGAGTGCTGCGTTGAACTATTAAACTAGAGCGGTCCATGAGTTTTGGATTAGTTTGTGTTATTTAAATAGGTTCCGTTGGAAATTAGTGTATTGCGGTAATGAAGTGTCCCCTGGGCTCAATAGAATAATGGGATACAACGTGTAAAAAGCCAACTAAAGCAGATCTTGTACGACGGCCGAAAAAGGAAAACAGAACTAAAGAAAATAATGTTAATAAGATTGAGTGCGGACTGGTGAACGCGCAGAAGTGTTCCCAAGAGAACTAGTAGAAATCCACTTGGTCGGAATTTTAGAATACATCATTTGGCTGCTTTATTTGGCCTCCAGGCTAACAAAAGCTAAGAAGCGAAATGTAATTATTTCAATGCTTTGTCAAGCTGTTTGTAAATATCTGTAGTTTGGAGGCAGGAACAAGTATACGAGGAGAGCTTTGCGTGGCTGGTGCACCTAGAGATCGAAAAATTTTCGATGACGTTTCAGCCGGCTTTATTGTCTATCCAAACTTGGTCGAATCCATGTCAATTTGATGTTGACTGAGCCACAGGAGTTTACAGTAAGTGGGTTGGGATTATCCAGGATTTGGGATGACATCATGAGTTCATACCGAAGCAGAAGAGTAACAACGGCGCGGTCAGCTCTGAGCGCCATGCGACAAGCGGCGGCACTTATAGTGCAGTTGTTTGTTCGATACCAAATACCAGGGGCGAAGTTTCCGGATAAACTGAGGCTTGACTATTTTAAGGTTACTCCGTATGAGCAACTACAACTTTGCGCTACGCGTCACATCTGTGTAAACGTTTTTCCCACCCATGCCCTTATTTGTCCCATTTTGGCTACTCACACCACATTTACCCAGTGTCCCAAACAACCATACATTGCACCGAAAACTAATATATGCACTTCAATCTGAGCCGCGATTGTGCGGCTTTCACACGCCAATCCTGAGCTCAGTTAAGGCGAAAATTTTACCACCGCCCCGGGTGGCAAATGTACTTGCTACGCAACTGAACCGAAGGCTCGGATACCAGCTGCTTTACATTCCTAGGGATATATTCAAAGTTCATATGGCAAACGGAAGAGGCCCATAACATGTTTAGGTGGACAGGATGCCACGTCTGGATATTGTATTCCACCTGTGGCACACATAGGCAATAAGCACCTGTGGAAAAGCAGGATGCTCAAACAGACCAAAGGAGCTGCGTAGAAAACCGAATGTTGACAGTCAGTTTTTGACACCTTCTAGGATTGTTTTGAGTAGCCGATGTCACTCTCCGAGCAGGCTATTAGCAAAGTGTGGTACACGTATGTTGACTGATGAGGCATGTGAACACATTACACCTTGTCGAATTAGACTGGAGTAGATTTCATGTAGACAATTGGTGACCATCATCTAAATGACATTACAAGTATAATCTTCGTTGCTACTAATCGTTCGTGATATCTTGACAGCATCGATAAAAGCAAGTGATTCGTAGGGATAACTTCTACAATGTAGTTGATACACACGTTCTAATGCGTCACTTGTACCGGATCAGAGTAGTGAAACTATCAAATACAACGGCACTTTGTTTGAATATTGTAGTAAATTTGGGTTAGAATGGTAGCCACAGTATAATCTGTTCGTGGAAACAGATAGAATAAATTAAAATTAATAGTTGCACACTCGTCAATAATTTGATGGGACTAAAAATGTGGTGTACTGACAAATCCGGGTCAGACAAATCCGTGGTCAGAAGTTGTAAATAATCTGGGAGGTTGTTGGCTATCAACGAGTTTATCAACGTGCACAGTTACACTAGGGAATATGTTTCTCATCCGTAAAATGAAACCTCGGTATTTCGAGTGAACGGTCAGTGACTAAGACGGTAAACAGAAAAATGTAGCAAGCCAAATTAATATCACTGGGGTTACTGAAATATGAATACTACTGCATTGGACTAAATCAGTTTCGAGTTCTTAAGATCATCAACAACCTGCAGCCTTGAGAGACAGTTCCAACCTAGTCGATAAGCAATTCAAAGCCGTCCATGGGTCACATATTCGCGAAGGCAGGACCTTTCTAATCCCCCCGTTTCCCACTCAAAGTAGTCACTTTCAATGACCGGACGCCCATGCAGGTAGGGTCGTAAGTAGCCCTTGCTCGCACTTTAGTATCGCTCTCCTTAGACATATGTTGCCTCGCTGAAACCCACTTACAGGACTCCAACACAACCCTACGAATGACATCACCTCATGAGTGCTGTCACGGTATGTTCACACTACGCTTTTCCGGAGATGCGACTGCTCAAAACGCGTGGTTGGCCAGTGTGGGAATTGCGTTAAGAGAACGCGCAGAAGCTGCGCTGCTTAATTACATCCGAGTTAATGCCCGACTGTGTGCCATTCTGTTAGTAAGATTTGCACGACTGTCCAGCCGTTAAGCTACCAAATGCTCTTTGTTTGTCGGATTTCAGCTCAGACACTAACCAAGATGAGTTCTACTATCAACTCTCCG